AGCACGTAGCGCACAGCGTCACTAGCACATCAAAAGGTGTGCATAGGTTATAATGCTCTGGGGGAAGATATGTAAAGGAAAAGTTTTCGACAGTCTTTCGACGGGTGTTTTTTGTTGGCGCATGCTGCTATTTGAACTATATCTGACAGCTTTCGTCTCAGATTTTGAAATTTACCGTGATCATAGTACACTCCAAATTATAAATTACAAGGCAAGAAAACAATTTAAGTCCCAGTCGAACTGACACAAGACGAGGGAAGATTGTGTCCTCTTTCCAGCAGGGCTGTTTTTTTCTTTGCATGATAGAGTACTGAGGAGCTGCAGAATGAATAAGATGTTCCCACTTTTAAATAGTTCGACTGCATTGATAGTGCCAACGTACACTTCTTAACAGTGTGACTCATTCTTTGGGTTCCTTCACTTCAATTCTGCTAGGTTTGATTTGTGTAAGAAGGAACGATTTTTGTAAGAAGGAACGATTTTTGTAAATTTCAACAGACTCTGAAATAGTAATCCTGGATAGTAAATTTGCTGGTTCATATGGCACTGCATGTGATCATTATCCACTTTAGAAGTGCCAACAACTTCTCAGTCGATGCCAGTCGGTGAATCGGCAGCAACTCTTGCTGCCACAGAAACTGCTAAAAAACACGATTTTCGTGGCGCAGCGACATCTGGGAGTGGCGGAGAAGAGTTGGAACGTAGCCACAGCACGCCTGTCTCAACAACCAGCGAACAGGCAACCATTTTTTTTTTTGCATGTGACAGCATCATTTTTTCACCGATTTTTGAAATAGTGATTTTCATCGTAATTTTCAAAATTTTAAATTTGCATCGATTAGCTCTCATTTCACAGTAACACATTTACACACTAACAGTGCATCTAGCAACAAGTGGGTGCCGAGTACCAATAAGTGACACTCATGAAAAACTAAATTGCCATTTCGAACGATGTGTGAACAGACGGCGTACACCGAACTGGTTTTATGTAGCCATTACGAGGAATACGATGGACGACGTTACGATGATGTCACCACGAGCTTCGGACGGGAAATCGGATGGATGCTGTTGTACTGTGGCGCGTAGTGGACAGATTGGAGTGAAAAAAAACAAACTTTATCAACACGAATACTAGATTACAAGTGATTCGTTGGGGCGATGGAAATTTAATCG